AAAAAAAAAAAAAAGAGAGAGAGAAAGAGAGAAGAGTACTAGAAATAATGGTTTTACGTAATCGATGGAAATTATCCGATTCACGTGACCGCGATCAATTGTTCCCAAGATAGTGGTCAGTACGTGAACGTCACTCGTGACGGAAGAGAAACCACGGTAGAGTAAATATCATTTTCGTGGGTAGAACGATGATGATTTTCCACGAAAACCAGCGTAACGACGCGTGATAGCTCGTAAACCGGATAATCGATAATGACCTTCGTGCTCGCGCGAGAAAAGGGACAGTCGAAGAGGAATCTCTCTCTTTTTCGCGATCGTTGCGAAAAAGAAAAAAAAAAAAAAAATTCACATTTCGAGATTGGACATTTGGAAAGAGAAACCCTCGGTTCGCGTTTGATTCTCGTGAGTGAAAATAAAAACGATAAATTTACTTGCGCTACTTGAATTCAAGGTGGTGTTTAATTATACGTCAGTGCTCGACCTAATTTGATATTCGCTCGTACTTTTCCATTCTGTTTCATTCTTTCGAATTTATTCTGGAGAACCACAAATACACACGTACAATTGTACGGGACATTTTATCTCGACAATTTTCCTCCATCCCCCTTTTCTACCCGACAACAATGTATTCTATTGACGAAAGAAAGAAATCGGGTATTTCTTGTGCCTTTCTTGCGCGTTGATCGACTTTCAGCGACGAATATACATCGAAAAACGGAATTCCATTTTATTCATCGTGTCTTAAGCAACACGCGATAATGATACGAGAATCAACTTTGTTCGAAGGACACGTGCTCTCTTTTCTACTCTTTAATCGACTCGAAACACGTCAAAGCTGTACCATAGAAATCTAAACGAATTATCTGACAATTCACGGCCATAAATAATGCTTTATTTTTCCATCTACAACAGCGTGTCATAAATACGTTTAACTCTTCTTGATACCTTTTCTTGGTAAAGAAATAACTTTGCAGAATTGAATTCTTCTCTTCCATCATTAAATTCCATCTTAAAAATAACTTTGTATTGTAAACCATTAACACGTGGAAGTTACACGCGACAATGATTAATAAATTTTTCTACAATGAAGAGAGAATATTTATCTTCTATTCATTTATAAACTACAAAACTGCAAAATAAACAAAACAATAAAGAACCTCCTCCTTGTCCATCCCTATCAACGAAGACGATAAAATTAGCATAAACCGCAATCGCATTTAATTAGCATAAACTCCAAACACGAGATTCATCGATCCTCCACTTTTCGCGCAACCATTCTATTCCAGTTACATTATCCGTGTGCAACGAACGGTTCGTCGCGCCTTCAAGTACCATATGGATGCGGTGGGTAAACGGAGGCTGGTGTTTCGTCTCGCGGAAAGCTTAAT